AAATCTGTGCTCTTAGCCAGCCGGGCGTAATCAGGCATACAAGCTAATCAAATATTAAAGTTATTCGTAATGCTAGGGACAGCAACGAAAATTATCCAACAACATGTGAAATGACATGAGACTGTCGCCTGAACTTTAATCTTCAGGGTATCATAGAAACTTCAAGTCTATGCACAGAGGAGAATATATGGGATGCATCTGCTAACTATTTATTTCAAATAAAAGTTGTGGAATATATGCCTTGAAAATTGGATTTCCAGACTCTCAAATCTTCAACTTGGTCTCCTTCCACATCAATGAGGCGAAAGTATTTAATCATTTTACATTAACATTCTTAATGGCCATCATAGTTAAAGGTCAAAATGCATTGATGGGCTATTTATGCAACTGCAAAATGTTAACCTATTGCCAACCTCCACTAAACATTTCACTGTTACAGTTTCATACTTCTTTATCTTTATAAATCTTATGCATCAGCCCCATGCGTCAATACGTTGCTTTCTGGACTATAAAACAATTTTGAAGTAATGAGCAGAGGCGCTCAGTATATTTTAGTATAGAATCATTATCAGTGGTTTCGCTGAATAAACATTAGACGTATTATCTGATAGGATGAACTTGTGCGCACATTAGGAGCTTCACAGAACTTCAAGAATATACGCCCACACTATTCCCGTCCCATTCACATAAGAAGTACGCAATGATTAAAAATAACACCAATTAGTACTTTATTAAAGGATCGAAACTGTCAAGTTGATCATTGAGCATGGAAAGAGAGGAAAATTGAAGAAATCTAACCTAAAATATATTTTTAGACAAATTATTTTCTGGCTTGAGAAGAACTAATTAAACAATAGTGTATATGTTTGAAAGTACGCCAAAGTAGCTCTTTCAAACAAACAAGTAGTTAACGCGGTATGTAAATATCACCTTAAATATTTCAAAATAGCAGACCGTCACATACTCTTCAACAAATGTAACACCAACTATAGGTCAGTTGAACGAAAGTCCACTTACCTCCTCTGCATGCTTGGATAAAGATTAATTTCGGCTTTCCTGAAAGCAGCGGGGCATTCCG